GAGGGACAACTGCCTCTAGCATTTGCCCGAATTTCCATGGTTTTCTAAAGTTTCTTTTGAGGAGGACAACTGGCCCTGCCCCCTGTCTCGTACGCCCATTTAAAATCGTTGAAAGCTGCAGAATTTGTCACGTACTTGAAGAGACTTAGAGCGCGGCGTGGGAAACCAAAGTTGATCAATGCCAAGTCTTACGCCGGATTCGTTGCAGCAAAATTATCAAGGTTCACCAGAAGTTCCACTTTTGGCCTTTATTTTAAAACCACGTCCAGGGATTATTCTAACGAAATTTTATCACTGCACAAAAGCGCGAAAAATGATAAAATTTATATAAATTTAGCGACATTTTCGAAAACGCCTGCATGAGTGCATGTACTGACTCTGGTTCTGCAACTAAGGTTCACCACATCCATCAGTGTCACTATAATTATATTAGTCCAAATCTGCATTTTAGCCTATATATTCTATTTCACATGCAAAAATATACACATTTTCACATCTTTTTTGAATCACATGCAAAACACCAAGCAATTATTGCTCAATATCTAGTCTTTCACACTCATGAAATAGATTAATCTATAAACTGTTGATTGTGTCACCAAACAGCGTACGAAGATGACATGAAAGTGATTTTCCTGAACACGACTTGACCGGCAGGAGACTAGGAGAGATACCTGATCGGAATAAATATGTCACCAAAGCATTAGTAAATGAATGCTTTGTTGATGAAGAGGTTGGAAAACAGTAGCCGAGCTCTCAGGTTGCCATAATTTTGAGTTAAATATTTCCACCGTCTATCTTCTCAGTAAAAACTGAAAGCCATTGTATGTGGATTATACGCAAAATATACAAGCAGTGGTCATTTTGTCGCCAATTTCTGGTACTGAACAATATCGCATTTTATCACTGCACATCTAATTTATCACTGCACAAATGTCATTTATCACTGCACAAATTGGTTATCACTGCACCTTAGAATAATCCCTGACCACCTCCTACCATTCCCCCGGAGGCAATGCCTGCATACTGCTACACAAATGACACTGATGTGGAAGAGAATGATTCAAATAAAAACGACAATGAATACGATGATCTTACCGTAAAACTAGAAGAGAGTAATTCAGATGATGGGCAATCGGTGCAATCGGGGCAACTGATAATCCCAGTCATGAAGACGGCGATTTAGAGGAGAGAGAAATCCCACATGTAGACGATCCCGATAAAAGATACGACATTACTGAATTCGTGTATACATTTAAAACGAAATAAAATATTCTTACGAATTAATACACGTGTGTTTCATGTAATTCGACACGGTTTCGCTATATATATTATCCTATATTTCAGTATATTTGCAATGTGTGAGTCACGCATTATAGTCGCACCGTGAGTCTATGTTTGGCCCAATCAGCGTGCGGCGGCACCCCTTTGATACGCTACATGGAGGGTGTAATGTTCTTATGCGCAAGTAATACGCACGGTAAAATATCAATTCATCTAGAAAATTTTACATATGTGTTACGAGGCTTTATTTAAGTAGTGTAGTGAATCGTTACAACGATCTTAAATAAGTGTCAGTTCTTAATGTTATGTTCGTCTTCTCGTAGTAGTTTCCTAAAGTTCACTTCATTTCACTTTACTCATTCACTTTACTGTCTTCACTTTACTTCACATTACTGATCAGTCCACTGACGAATTTTGGTTGTGCACGCACTTTTATACTAACGGTTGAGGGGATCTTTGTCCACGTGATGTAGCAAGTGACACGTGTGATTTGTATCCAGCCAATCAACGTCGAGGTTTAAAAGTGTGGGTTGGCGTTGGTAGTTCGTTCCAGCTCTCAAATTCTGTTTATTTAAGGCGTTGTCGCACTTGTCGAGTTGGTTCGCTGTTCAATCGATCATCATTAAACATGTTCACAACTTAAAATACTTATCAAAATATCATAGTAAAAACTTCAACCTATACCTATGTGAACCTTACTTTACCTACTAAACTAAATTTACTTACAATTCTATTACGTCATTAGCTATAGTCGTTACGTAGTTGTACGAGAGACAGTACCGCGCATGAGTTAACCAGTTGTACTGTTCATGTGAACCAGTGAGCACCCGCAATTTATCGTTCCGTTGGAACTTGGAATTCATCTTCT